CCTGTAGTAAGTACACGTAGTCAAAATTGACAGACTGACAGTCCGCAACTACGTCCTCCGTCACTTGTTACAACACAAGCCCACAACTGACTGGCATATAATCCTCTACATGTTTTTCAATTATTCAAGATTTGTGCACTTCCTGGTCAGTGGCAGGCAAGAAAGAACATGAAAACCATTGTGTCTTAGCAATTCTCATTTTGCATGACTGGCACTTGAGTGTTGGCAGCGACAAAATCGCCAGTCAACGCATCTCGAGGTTTGGTCTTGCTGCGTTCGGCGTCACATTGAATGTGGGGTTGGTTTTTGATTAGTTTTCCAATCCAACACACATCTCCAAGCAGGAGGGCTGGGGATCTGAGTGAGGGTGTTACCCCATAAAATGCCATAAGGCAATTTGCATTCTCTTAAGATAACCCCTGACCAAGCAAAGAACACAACAATAGAATCAAATCAACGGCTGGGTAACATTGATTCTCGTAAATTGCGTGGACAAAGAAATATTTCGGTAAAGCTATAAACTCTGCACTGCCAGATAATTCAGCAATATTTGTCTGCAATAGAGGGCTACATTTAGTCAAGGGTCAGCAAGGAGATCACCCTTCCTTTAACCCAAAGTTCCTATCACGACTGTCGAAAAGTCACATAAAAATTCTTATCAATCCATTTACCCTCAGAATTGTTTTGGAAGACCTGAATTCCTCCTATATCCTCCCAGAGTCAATTGTCGGATGAATGCAGGAAGGGTGTTTCACAATTGGACGTGACAACAGTATGTATGAGTTTTCCGTCGTACTAGATCTCTATAGAAGTGATAGAGTGTTATGCAAAATGCAAAGGTAACCAAAGAACATGCTGAAGCTTCCATCCAAGCAAGTGCCGATTGATGTTCCGGAATTGAATGAAACCCTCCGCATCAAGGTCAACCCAGCAACTGCGTTCAACAAGATTTCGAGAGATGCCTTGCCAGAACCGTAAATCGGCAGACAAGAAACTTTTTCGGGGGCAATAACCGATTAACCTGAAGTGCTTCATCAAAAAGGATGATCCCCTTATCATAGTCAAGTCACAAGATTTTGGCATGACATCCACGAAAACGCGGTTACACCAAGATCCAACAAATGTCAAGAGGTCTCCGTTGCCTGACCTTTTTCAGTGATCATCCGAGACCGCAGGCTGGCAGTCCCTTTCCAGAGGGTGTCAAACCTTACAATTGAATTTGTCTCCAGGTCCACTGCAAGAGCGATTGAGAAACACTGCAAACGCCTGGGCGGCCGTCTCGAAGCAATATTGTAGCAGACCCGTAATACACCGTTAAGCATCAAAGAGCCCCACCCGCTCGGAAAGGAAGTACAAAGGTTCAGGACAGCAAAGTTTAATTTTACTGGTGATAGCAACTGTCCCCGAAGGATTTGTCCAAATCTTTCTCACAGATTTGATCAGAGACAAGACCAGACTTAATGGCATATTGCGGAAAGCTGTGGTCACCCATACCTCCTGGTCCTGTGAAAAAGATTTTGTGTCAATAATGGGTCTTGAAAATGGTTCTAACAAATGCATGGTGAAGGACTAATTATACATGCCAAGATGGAAGACGCCTAGAAGTAGCGGCGACAACAATGAGGTGGTGCCAATGTAATCTGACATGTGCATGTAGGTTTATCGCGATTGACTGTACGGACAGTCTGAATTCGAACGGTCATGTCCATTCTTCTCGGCCTTTATGCCACAGTTTCCAGATCCGACCCTGACTTTGGCTTCATGTTGATTTAAACCCTGGAAAGAACGAGGAAGAACATTCCTGTCATGTTTGTATGAGTCAACTAGGCGGATGGTACTGTCTGGCTTGACCTTGCCATTCTTCCAATGCTTTCACGTGGCGGCCGTGAATTCTGAACTGGCTCTTTCTACAAGCTGACCAAGAGAATGTGGGTTTCTCATGGAATAAGTGCTCGATGAGGGATGAAACCGACACGAAAGGCAGTTAAACAACTAAGCTGGTATCGCCCAGCGATCTAACAGTAATCCTCATGGCAAGTAGAAAGAGTACTTGTGGGATTTTTGTGTGCTATGTTAATACTCAAAGAGGGCTGTGTACCAAGATTTAATGAAATGCGGTGCTCACAGTGTTCCAGGCCTCAGAGTTCTGATGAGTTGAAAGGACCTCCCACCTTCATTGGATTCCTTCAGACTGCGCGTAACGTTCGTCAGCGCCGTATGATAGGCAGCGATGGGTGTTGGGATATAACACCTCACCTCAGAATCCACCACCTCCTCTTGAGATGTGTGGATTAGAAACTCCAATCAGAACCAACTTCACATTCAATAGTACCACGGAGCGCAGCCAGAGCACAAACCTGCAGATCCGTGACTCAAGTGCAGTCATGCAATGCGCTAATAACAATTTGTCATGTTGCCGTTTCTTTACTGGCACTTTGTCGACAGGAAGTGCACAATATCACTAATTGAAAGATGTACAGGATGATATTCAGTCCAGTGT